TGTGTAGGCTGAGAGTGTCTCAGTACCCAGTATACCTATATATCAGCTCTGAGAGTACAGAGTACAAACAGGGTTCTGTGAGGTTGTGTAGGCTGAGAGTGTCTCAGTTCCCAGTATACTTATATATCAGCTCTGAGAGTACAGAGTACAAACAGGTTGATGTGAGGTTGTGTAGGCTGAGATTGTGTCAGTTCCCAGTATAGGTTTATGTGAGGCTGTGTAGGCTGAGAGTGTCTCAGTACCCAGTATACCTATATATCAGCTCTGAGAGTACAGAGTACAAACAGGGTTCTGTGAGGTTGTGTAGGCTGAGAGTGTCTCAGTTCCCAGTATACTTATATATCAGCTCTGAGAGTACAGAGTACAAACAGGTTGATGTGAGGTTGTGTAGGCTGAGATTGTGTCAGTTCCCAGTATAGGTTTATGTGAGGCTGTGTAGGCTGAGAGTGTCTCAGTACCCAGTATACCTATATATCAGCTCTGAGAGTACAGAGTACAAACAGGGTTCTGTGAGGTTGTGTAGGCTGAGAGTGTCTCAGTTCCCAGTATACTTATATATCAGCTCTGAGCGTACAGAGTACAAACAGGTTTATATGAGGTTGTGTAGGCCGAGAGTGTCTCAGTTCCCAGTATACCTATATATCAGCTCTGAGAGTACAGAGTACAAACAGGGTTCTGTGAGGTTGTGTAGGCTGAGAGTGTCTCAGTACCCAGTATACCTATATATCAGCTCTGAGAGGACAGACTACAAACAGGTTTATGTGAGGTTGTGTAGGCTGAGATTGTCTCAGTTCCCAGTATACCTATATATCAGCTCTGAGAGTAGAGTACAAACAGGGTTCTGTGAGGTTGTGTAGGCTGAGAGTGTCTCAGTACCCAGTATACCTATATATCAGCTCTAAGAGTACAGAGTACAAACAGGTTTATGTGAGGTTGTGAAGGCTGATATATAGTATATCAGTACCCAGTATACCTATATATCAGCTCTGAGAGTACAGAGTACAAACAGGGTTCTGTGAGGTTGTGTAGGCTGAGAGTGTCTCAGTACCCAGTATATTTATATATCAGCTCTGAGAGTACAGAGTACAAACAGGGTTATGTGAGGCTGTGTAGGCTGATATATAGTATCTCAGTACCCAGTCTACCTATATATCAGCTCTGAGAGTACAGAGTACAAACAGGTTGATGTGAGGTTGTGTAGGCTGAGATTGTGTCAGTTCCCAGTATAGGTTTATGTGAGGCTGTGTAGGCTGAGAGTGTCTCAGTACCCAGTATACCCATATATCAGCTCTGAGAGTACAGAGTACAAACAGGTTTATGTGAGGTTGTGAATGCTGATATATAGTATATCAGTACCCAGTCTACCTATATATCAGCCCTGAGAGTACAGAGTACAAACAGGTTTATGTGAGGTTGTGTAGGCTGAGATTGTCTCAGTACCCAGTATACCTATATATCAGCTCTGAGAGTACAGAG